TAAAGGGTATGCTTATACAAATAGCATTTTTTTTTACTTAAATAATATTCAAGTTTGATCCACCTGTAAAGTATGCCCAGGTCTCATTGTTGATATCTCATCTTCAAATAGCAAAAAAAGAAAAGATATATATATGTATACACACACACACACACACACACACATATATATGTATTAGTGTCACTTTATTTAAACATATATGTGTGCGTATAAATATACATGTATAGTCACTTGATTCCATATTTCCTTTCAACTTGTTTGAGAATGTAGAGTCAGGCTGGAAAAATAACAATGCATTCAATCCAGTCATCTTCCCTAACAATTTGAGATTCTTCTTTTTCCTAATAGAATGCCATTTGCAAAATATGGGATTCATAGCAGAAGTTGGTGGGTTGATATACTTTAACATAGCTCAAACATCAAGAGGAAAAGAAGAGAGAAAACAATGATGAAAAACATATCTGGAGGCCATAGCCCAATGAAAGGGAGATAATAAAACTAAGCAATATTGACACATAAAAGTGAAATTACAAAACACAATCATCCTTAAATTCAAAAATCTATACATGCCCAGGTGACTGTTCTGGAGACACAGTAATCCTTACAATATGCTCCTACGTATTAATTTCCAACATGCGCAATTGCCCACATCAGTATTTAAAGGATTTACTAAGCCTATTTTACGAGGCAATCGAACATCGCTTTCTCATGGCAACATGATACAGAGCACACAGCACTAAGTGGTTTATAATGATCACTCCCTTTCTCCAACACACCCCTGGGGACCCATGGAGGATTTATGTTCCTTTATGTTTAACAAACAAGTCTGGCGTTGTAGACAAAATTTTCATTCTCATGTGAGAATTTAAAAACTGTGAGGACAGGAAGACTTCTTTCTTACTCCTAAGAATTGTAAGGAGTATGCTGAAGAAATAAATTCACTGGTAAACATAATTGTCAGACACCCAGCTTCTTTCAACAAAAATAAACCAACCCTGCAAAACAGGCTGATTCTAGTTCATACTGACTAAAACCCTGTCAATTAAATCTACCCCATGAATTCTAGAACTTGACGGTAGTGTGAAACCCTGCCAACAAACGAA